TTATGCATGCCACAAGCCCTTTTATTTCCCCTCAACTGGAATTGACTGATTCCAATGCGTCTCATGCAAATCATCAAGCAACAACCCTCCACCATACTCTCATGACGAGTGTGACTCCCTCTTTTCAATTCAACTGAACTATCACTTCGTGTTTTGGCAGAAGGTGGAAGCACCAGTTTTCTGTGGGAAAGAAGGGTGGGAAGTATGAATGGAGGTAAGTTCCTATCAGAAATACATTTTCAGCATAGGAAAATTATAACTTCTGATACGGTACATTTTATCTAACTTTGATTCCTGCTAACAGAATTTTAGAGTATACTTATAGACATGAATTCCAAACAAAAGAAATAATTATTTATTAATCATTAGTTAGGCCTCACTTGGACTACTATGTATGGTTTTGGTCTTATCTAAGAAAGGATATTGAGTTACTGGAAAGGGTTCAGAGGAGTGCTTCTAGGACAATTCCTGGGATAGAAGGGACAAATAGCTAGAATCCCACGTTGAATAGTTGGAGGGACCAGTACGAGGGAAAGAAAGAAGCATCACTAGCGTCCAAAGGACATTCCCTAAGATGAGACAGTCAGATTCTAAGATCTGATCTGGGGGACCGCACCACTTCTGAACTAGGTATACTCTTCACCCATCATAGAAGAATGTCACTCATATGGGTGGAAAAACAGAGGAGCACATCCAAGTGGGAGAGAACTAAGGTCGGATAGTGATCTGTACCATACAATATTTATGAAACTCTATTCCAGAAAGTATAAACGTGGGTAAAATTAAAAGGATGTGTCCTAGTGTAGAGTGACTAGGGTGTGATGGACCATACATGGCAAGTCAACTACATCCAAAACCCATGCTGACATCCATGCGGGGGTAGGATGAGGATCATACTGTTGGTCAGTCAACTACAATCCAAAACCCTGCCACCAGGAACCGACACCCAGGGGGATAAGGGTAAGAGGATCATACCACTGGCAAGTCAACTACAATCCAAAACCCAGCCATCTGGTGGGGGTAGGAAAGGAGATCATACCATGTTCACCTCAAGTTCATGAAACCGAAGGGCACATGTTAATATAAGAAACTGGTAAATCGATCCAGGAACACGACATCCGGTATTAAAAAGATGTCTGTGTAATGTAAATTATCTCCCTCAAAATTGAAATTGACTGGAACTGCCCCAAGCACACTAACATCCTTGGAATGATAAGTATCGAGGGATAGTGGAAGTGGAAGAACTGTAATAATCTGCAAGTACCTCCACCATAATTCACAACACAGATGGAGTAACAAGAGGGAGGAATACAGACACCTGTAATACATGTGTGAGGACTTATGTTGATTGGTACAACTCTAAATCCTAAAACCCAGTCACTGGGAACCGACACCCAAGTGTGGGTAGGATGAGGGATCCCAATTGAAGGGGTGAACTACAATTTTGACGTCTCACTCACGTTTATATTTATTTCATATTGGAGGCTCTCACATCATCTACACCAGCAGAACACCACTGCCCTGCTCTCAATTGAATGGTTTTATAATAATTTCTATATTTTGTTTGTATTTCATTAACCCATTCAGAAGGATGCCTCCATGGAACTGGAAAGTGGTAAGGGCTCTCAAACTCCGCTAGAAGAAAAGGATGGAAAAAATGCAGTGGAGAGTTTGGAGGAATGTCAACACCTGAGACAGTGCAATGGGTGATCACAAAACCCTATTTTTAAAAGCATACCATACCGACTAGGCAGCTAACCCCTTCTTCTTTACCCATGTAGTCCATATGTGATTATGGTTCAGGACGGGCAAATTTTTTAAGTAATTCCATCATGAGGATAAACCTACAAGTGATCTTGTGGAACACCCAATCTCTGCAGTATGCATTGCGTGACCATGGAAATATAATATGTAAGCCAACATGGCCTTACAGTGCAGATTTGATCGGTTAAAGAATACCTGATAAGGCGCTACTCGCTACAGAGTGCGATCCAAACAATGAGTAATAATAAAAATGGAAAAAGGCCCCTGAAAAGAAATAAAGAATAATAAAAATAACTTACTCACTCCAAGTCTCACTGAAGCCTAAAGAATGGCTACAGGTGGAAGACGATAGCCTGAAGAGGAAGAAACATGATACTATGCAATTGAGACGAACGTATTATGGGCAGTCCACATACTCGACTGAATAATTTCCTCAGAGGGACGATGAAGATGAGATGCTAATAAAAAAATAAGGTGTTGAATTTGATTAGAAGACACCCGGAACAAAGAACAGGAGGAAAATGATAAAGAGGAATAAGCCAATCTAATTAAAAGCCAAACCCAATTGGTGAGTGTGGAAGGAGAAAGATCATGAACAGAGGATGGCTGCCAAGGAATAAAGAAGCATGAATAGGCACCAAGGAAGAAAGCCATGCAGGCATTATAACAGATAATAACACGTATGGGACATAGAAGTCTATCTGGATCAGGCTGAGAATAAAAATAGGAATTGGAAGGAAGGGAAATTGGCAAAATGGAGGGGTTAACCTCACAAGTCAACAAAGTGTTGGGGAGGAAAGAACAATCTGGAAAAAGGAGAACATATGTAAAATGATAAAGTGTGTGAAACATCAATGGCAAATAAATCAGACCTTAGATGTCCACATGCTAAGAGGAGAAGGAAATAAGTTGTAAGGGAAAGGTGAAACAAGGAGCACGTAGATAGTGGTTCAAACAGAGGCAAAGTGAGGCATTGAAGGACCACATTAACATCCCAATTTGGAAGGGCAGCCTCCCCTGTACAGACAACAAATCCGGAAGGAACATATCAACAGGGAAAGAGTAGGAGAGGTAAAGAACCTATGGTATCAGGAAAAATGAAAGGTGTGGGACAAGGCCGTCTGAGATTGAGGAAACAGAAGACCCTCGATCGAAAAGCCAAGTGAGGAAATCCACAATACAAGGATCAGTGGGTTGAGAAGGAGAAAACCCTTGACCCAGAGATTAATGGTATAAAACATTCCATTTACGTTGATAGACTTCCATGAAAGAAGGGCGAATGGAATGAGCCAGAAAAGAAGCTACCCATCAGGAGAAGCCAAATCTCCTCGCCAATGACCAGATTAAAAGCAGGCATGAAGATGGAGGATAGGAAGGGCTGGATGAAGCACCAGTGACCGAGATGGATGAAGAAGGGATAGAGTCAGAGGAAGAGGTAACGAAAGGGTAAGTTGGAGCTGAAGAAGCCGTGGAAATCACGGCTGAGCTGGCCAGTAAGGAGCAATCAGAAGGACTTGACATGGAGCAGCATGGATGATCAAAATCACTTGATGAAGAAGTCAAATGGAAGAATAGACATGTAGGTATGTGTTGGTCTAGTCTTGGCTGAAAGCCTCGACAGCAAGAGCAAGAAGATGAGGAACCAGAGACCAAAACAGAAGAAATTTGTGGTTCAGGGATGTGGCAAAAGCATCAATGTGAGGATTACCTCATTGAAGGCAAAGCCACTGGAAAACAACAAGGTTGAGAAACCACTCCATTGAATAGACTTTGTCTAGATGGGAAAGCCAATATGCAACAAGATTGGAACCATCCAAAACATGACACACAATGATATGAATATCTAGCTTGTGGGCCCCAAAAAAGAAGCTCCAACATATGAATACAGAGGGATTGAGAGCGGGTGCCACCTTGGTGATTGAGATAAGCAACCATTGAATTGTTGGAATGGATTATTACCAAATGATTTCTAGCCAGATGGAAAAGTTAACCAAAGCACAATGTACAGCAAGAAGCTCCAGGATGATAATATGATACTACCTCTCGGCCCTAAGATCAATATCCCAAGGAAGGGTAATAAGAGCCATGAAAGGATCCCTCATGAGATTCCACTGGTCATGAAGAGCCTGCAAATGAGTCCATCCTAAGGGGACAGGGGCTGTCATGAAAGACCACATCCC